TTCCCACACAAACAATGTTATGAATAATCTCAGCCAGGCATCCTCCTTGCACTAAGCATTAGTCGGCTGACTATTTAACTCTAGCTACCACTTAGTTCATCCAGCAACCTTTTAAAGCTGCTTGGTATCAGCAGTAAGCTAGGCTCTGAAGATAAAGTCTAGAACAAGATATCTGTAGTTCCTGCTTCTGTGGAGATTACAATCTGTGAAGGAAAAAAGGTCATTCCTTTACCCAGCAAATATTTACTGGGCGTCTACTACGTTCCAGACATTCTTTTAGGCACTTGTATACACCAATGTACGATAAAGATCTCTGAAGAAGCTTGAGGGGAGGAAGAGTGTGGTGTGGAGATAGATAATGAACATAAATAAATTATGTAGCATGTTAGAAAGTGAGAAGTGCTATATGGATAAAAGAAAAAGTAGAGCTGGGTAAAAGGGATAAGGATTGACAGTTTTTAAATTCTGATTGTAAGCGTATTTAGTCTCATTGATCTTATTACAACCTGTGTACAAACTCAGGCAGTACCTGAGTTATGAATGTGGTAATAGTAGATCCTAACCACCAAGTGTAACCATGTTTCCATGAGAAAATGCATTTAGAATTATCCAAAAAACATAGGGTCTATTCCTGCCTCCCTATGATCTTCTCTTGGAATCCTGGGCAATTTGATAGGGAGAGTATCAGTGGGATGCTGTGTTCAATTTTTAGTAGGTCCTCAACAAAAGTTTCCTTTCTGTGCTCCAAATGATTCTAAAAATCCCATGTTATCATGGTTTGAGGAATCCACTATAGTAAGTTGGTCATTTGCTTACTTTTTGACCTCTGGTGGGCTTGGACTTCTGTTCCTTGATGGTGGTGATGAGGGTGAGAATGCAGTCTAGACAGAAAAGACCTGATTTCACATTTGGTAAGTTTTAGTGCTGGGAAAATAAAGATTATGGTGGCAAAATACTCTTCAAAATTACTGCTGTGGATTGGATGTCCCCCTAAAACTCATTGAAATTTAACCCCCATTGTGACGGTGTTAAATGTGTGGGAAATCCTATTATGGTAATTGAAAGGTGGGACCTCGAAGAGGTGATTGGATTGTGAGGACCATGCCCACTAAGTGAATTGATCCATTCATTGAGTAATAAAGTTGATGGTTTAATTCTGGTCTTGGGTGTGGTTCTGATGGCTTTAAAAGAAGAGCCAATGAGGAGGTTAGTCTTTGTTTAGATCTGCCAGCCTCCATGTGACACCCTGCATCACTGTGTATAGTACCACTAACAAGGCCTTCACCAGATGTGTTCCCTGGACTTTGGACTTCCCAGCTTCTGAAACTGTAAGCAATAAATACTGTTTCTTTACAAATACCCAGTTTCAAGTATTTCTGTTATAAGCAACAGAAAAGGACGAATACAATTACACTATTTAGTGTTCTCAGAGGTTTAGGTGGAACTTTTATGCTTGATGTATGTGATGAATGGAAAAAAAAGATTCATTAGAAAGAACATGTTAAAAAAAAAAAAAACTACCATAATTACAATTAAAGAACATGATCTTAAATTCCTGCAGAAGAGCATGAAGAGTTGAGAGGTTGTTAACAATCCTTATGAATCACAGTTCTATAGGGAAAAACAAACAATTTGAGAAAACCCAAGATGTTAACTTGTGGAAAGCAATGAATTTAATTGGAAAAAAATATGCCTTGTGAATAACCAAGAACTAATCACAGGTGATGGAGTTTGGATGTGTTGTCCCCACCAAAAATCATGAGGAAATTTGATCCAAAATGTGGCAGTGTTGGAAAATGATTTAATCATGGTGGTGGATCCCTCAAGAATGTATTAGTGCTCTCCCGAGGTGGGGGGAGTAATGAGTGAGTTCTCTATTAGTTCCCACAAGAGCTGGTTATTTTTTTTTTTTTTTTTTTTTTTTTTTAAAAGATGACCGGTAAGGGGATCTTAACCCTTGACTTGGTGTTGTCAGCACCACGCTCAGCCAGTGAGCGAACCGGCCATCCCTATATGGGATCCGAACCCGCGGCCTTGGTGTTATCAGCACCGCACTCTCCTGAGTGAGCCACGGGCCGGCCCCAAGAGCTGGTTATTTAAAAAGACCCTGGCACCTCCTCTCTCTCTCTTGCTTCCTCTCGCCATGTGATCTGCTTGTACCTGCCAGCTGCCTGCCACTTTCCACCATGAGTAGAAGCAGCCTGAGGCTTGTGCCAGATGCAGCTGTCCCAGAATTGTAAGCCAAATAAACCTCTCTTCTTTATAAATTACCCAGTCTCAGGTATTTCTGTTATAGCAACACAAAATGGACTAATACAGAAAACTGGTACCAAGGAGTGGGTGTTGCTACGCAGATACCCGAAAATATGGATGCAGCTTTGGAACTGGGAATGGGCAAAGGTTGGAGGAGTTTGGAGGGCTTAGAAGAAGACAAAAAGAAGAGGGAAAGTTTGGAATGTCTTAGAGACTTATGTGGTGATGAGCAGAATGCTGAAATAAATGTGGACAGTAAAGGACATGTGGATGATGGGATCTCAGATAGAAATGAGGAACTTATTGGGAATTGGACAAAAGATCACCCTTGCTACACCACAGCAAGGAACTTGGCTGCTTTGTGTCCATGCCCATGGACTTCGTGGAAGGTGGGACTTAAGAGTTGTGAACCAGAGCATTTGGCAGAAGAAATTTCTAAGCAGCAAAGCATTAAGGAAGCTGCATAGTTACTTTTAAAATCCTACTCTGAGTTATGGCAGCAAAGGCATGATGTAAAGCCAAAATTTAAAAGGGAAGCAGAGTGTAAAGATTTGCAGCTTGGCCATGTGGTAGAGGAGTAGAGAGCAGGAGAAAAATGCAAGGGTGAAGCTGATAAACTGGTTGCTAAGGACATTGTCTTGGCAATGAGGCAGCCAGATGCTAAGAACCAGGACAATGGGAAAAAAGCCTTAAAGGCATTTCAGAAGTATGGAAGGGTGCCCCACCCATCACAGGCCCTGAGGCCCAGAAGGACTGAGTTGTCCCAGAGGACTGACCTGGGGCACAGCTGTCCTCAGAAATCTGCTCCCTGCATCCCAGCTGCTCCGGCAGTATTGGCCCCAGTGTGGTTTGTGCAGCAGCCCTGGAGAGTAGAGGCCTGAAACCTCGGTGCTGTCCATGTTGTGTTAAGTCTGCAGGCTGGCAGGATGTGAGAGCAGTGGAGGCTTGGCAGCCTCCACCCAGATTCCAGGGGATGTATGGAAAAGCCTGGGGACCCAGGCAGAGACCTGCTGCAGGGGCGGAGCCACTGCAGAGGCCATCTACTAGAGCAATGCTGAGCAGAAAAGTGGGGTTGGAGCCCCCACCAGGGAAATGTCTAGTAAAGCCAAGGCAGCTGGGCTGCCGCCAGGACCCCAGAACTCTGGGGTCACTGGTAACGTGAAACACAGGCTTGGAAAAGCCACAGGCACCAGTGCAGCCCACTGGGTTGCACCTGGCAGAGCTGTGGGAGTGAGGCTGCCTGATACTTTGGGGGCCCAGTTGCCCAATTGTGCCCAGAATGCAGGACTTGGAATCAAAGAAGATTATTTTAGAGCTTTAAGACATAATGTCTGCCCTGCTGGGCTTCAGACTTGTTTGGGGCCTGTTTCTCCTTTCCTTTCCCATTCTTTTTGGAATGGGAATGTATACCCAATGTCTGTTCCACCATTGTGTCTTGGCAGTAGATAAATTTGGTTTTGTTTTTCAGGTTCACAGCTGGAAGGACGTTTGCTTTTGGTCTCAGATGAGACTTTGGACTTTGGACTTTCAAGTTGGTGCTGGAGGAAGCTAAGAGTTTTGGTACTGTTGGGATAGAATGATTATATTTTGTATGTAAGAGTGACATGAGTTTTGGGGGGCCAGAGGCAGAATGATGGAGTTTGGAGGTGTTGTCCCCACCAAAACTCATGTGGAAATTTGATACCCAATGTGGCAGTGTTGGAAACTGATTAAGTCATGGGGGTGGATCCCTCATGAATGGATTGGTGCTCTCCCTAGGTGGGGGGAGAAATAAGTGAGTTCTTTGTTAGTTCCCGCAAGAGCTGGTGTTTAAAAAGACCCTGGCACCTCTCTCTCTCTCTCTCTCTCTCTCTCTCTCTTGCTTCCTCTCACCACGTGATCTGCTTGTACCCGCTGGCTGCCTGCCACTTTCCGCCATGAGTAGAAGCAGCCTGAGGCCAGTGCCAGATGCAGCTGTCCCGGAATTGTAAGCCAAATAAACCTCTGTTCTTTATTACCCAGTCAGATATTTCTGTTATAGCAACACAAAATGGACTAATGCAACAGGCTAAGCAATATGTTTAAGCCAGAGCTCGCCACATAAGTTGTAATATGATGTAGCATATGTATTTGCATCTCTGTAGGAGTTGTCTCACATCTGCTGTAGATTTTCAGGAACTTCATTGCCAAGTGACATTCCATTCACTTAATCCTCTGTTTAGTTTGTATTTTCTGGTTCAAGTGTGTGTGTGTGTGTGTGTGTGTGTGTGTGTGTGTGTGTGTATTTTTTTTTTCCTTATTTCACTACCTTGTCCTTTGCACCCCACTCCCAGTAAACATTCGGTGGCCAATGGCTCTGAATATTTTTGCGTATCCGTGATTAATCCAATACGGATTGGAGTAACTTCTCAAAATATCTAAGATTTACAGTCTGTAAACCGATGATTTATTAACTCTTTTTACAACTTTTCATATTGAAGAACGTATGGCAGGAAATGGAAGCTTTTGATGAAGCCAATAAAAATTCATGTCAATTTTTCTAACTTTCATACCTAATTAACTGGGAGATGACAAAGGAGTGCCTTACGTCTTAATTTACCCTCCATATCCCCGCCCCCGACATCATGGGGGAGGAGCGTTCCTACTGGGCACCAGCGGTTCACCCCGGGGTTGGGAGAGGAACTGTGCGATCATAGAGCGGGCGGAATGCCGGGCTAGAAGGGACCGGAAGTTGTTTCTCCGCCCCCAGTCCAGGGGCTGGATCGGGTCTCGGCGGGCTCGGTTTGGTTCACGACGCTGTTTGGCCCTTTCGTCTGGGAGTGGATTCTTCTCGGCATTGGGTTCACTCCAGTACCGGCGTTTGGGAAGCTGAGTGAATTCGTCGGTCTCCTAATAACGAGAGACAGGGCAGCGGCTGGAGAGAGCAGCGGCGCCGTCGAGTCGCTCAGGCGCAAGCCGCAACCCTCCCGCCCCAGCTCCCCCAAACGGGGGCCGAAACCCGGAGCTTGGAAGAATAAGCAGGAAATGGCGGACGAGGCGTTGTTTTTGCTTCTCCATAACGAGATAGTGTCTGGAGTGTACAAGTCCGCGGAGCAGGGGGAGGTGGTGAGTGCAGCCACACGTCCTTCAGGTCCTTTTGCGGTGACACCCCTAGTTTCCCTTCAGTTCTTTCTTTTTACCCCTGTCCCATCGCCACCCGATCACTCCCGAGGTGTAGGCAAACTAGTCCACCTCCAGGTATCCTAAACTCTAGAACCTGTCGGCTGTCTCCTTTGATATTTCATCTTTCATCCTTTTCTTTTTCATATCTTTTACTATTTGATTTTTTTTTTGTCCCCATACTTTTGTCCCGCAGGCCACAAATGTTCTTACTCTTAGTATTGTCCCTACTATCATTTACTGCACTCCTACTTAATTTTACTGTCACTGCCAGTACTTCTGAGCCGTCCACCGGACAGACCTGTCCCGCCTGAGAATCCTGTTCCTCTTTCCCCATCCCTAACTCTCAGTACTACTCCACACAACGCGAAGCCTAATAAGGTTTGAGGTAGAAGCAAAGAAGTTTGCAGACGTTACGATAATTAGGAAACACAATTTAAATTCATCAATTCAGAAGATACTTATTTAGTACCCATTATGTCAGAGCTAGTTCTAGGTGCTGGGGATGAAGTAGTGAGTGAAACAATGGCCCCATCCTCGTGAAGCTTACATCTAATATGTGGGAGTCTTCATTCACTCCGTGATTCTTTCTGAAGACATTTATTAAGCATATATTGTGGGCCCAGCACTGTGCGAGAAATAAATAAGCTAAAACTCCTGCCTCACAGTCTTTGGGGAATAGTGATTTAATGAATAACTAATTAAATATTGGGTGGTAAATAGGTATAGAATCACAGAGTTGTAACGGATTTTAGAAATGAGATATTCGAGGGCCGGCCTGTGGCTCACTTGGGAGAGTGTGATGCTGATAACACCAAGGCCGCGGGTTCGGATCCCGTATAGGGATGGCCGGTTGGCTCACTGGCTGAGCGTGGTGCTGACAACACCAAGTCAAGGGTTAAGATCCCCTTACCGGTCATCTTTAAAAAAAAAAAAAAAAAAGAAGAAAGGAAGAAATGAGATATTCCAAAGTCATACTCAAGTCAAGAGCCCTTTCTGTAATGCTGTTGATAAAGAGGGGTGGTGGAGGGTGGGGGTAGGAAAAGCATCCTAGGCAGAGGTGAAGTCATAGAGGTATGAAAGAGTGGTATTAAACGTGCTTAATTTCAATGTGACTGGATTGAATAGGTGGAGAGTGAGAATTGAGAGCGGAAATTAGAGCCTTGTGTGATTAAAGAATTTGGACCTTCTCAGTGGAGAATTTTTAAAAAGGGCAATGATGTTGCATTTTAGAAAGATAATCCAGTGTTTGGGCTAGAGAGGGAAGATCTTTGTAATAAGAAGATCCATTATAGCTGAAGTCATGGCAGGAGATGATGAAGATCCGAACTAAGACAGGGGTAGTGAGAGCAGGAGAGAACAGCTTTGAGAGGTAGGAGGTAGAATATATAGGACTTGGATACGTATGGGAGTGGGAGTTGAAAATTATCCCCAGGCTTTTAGCTTGAGCAGCTGGGTTGGATGGTGGTGGTGTTAATCAGGAAAGGGAATAAAGAAGAGCCACCTTTCCAGTGTGTGTTTGTGGAAGAGGAGGAGGAAAAAAACAGATAAGTAGGTGAAGATCATGAATTATCTTGAGGCATGTTGAATTTTTGAGGTACCTCTAGGACATTAATCAAAGGTGCTGCTAGTTTGTGAAGTAGAAGAATAGCCATAATACATTTGGGGATATCATTAGGAATACACATCAGAAGAATATTGGAAATGAAGCAAATTCTATTCTTATTCAGACCCATCTATAACAGAGACTTTTTCCAAGTTACAGACTTTTGGCTCTACCATCATCAACGTTTGCTGTTTGTGCCAAGCTAGTCTTGCCTTTCCCCTGAAGAACAATTAACAACACATTCCTTTTACTGTTTGATCTTTAAATCCACGCCTGCCTCTCCTGTGTGCGTTCAGTTCTCTTCACTCTCCTCTCCCTACTTTCCCTCTTCTAACTCTTGCCCAGGGAACATCAGCATCATGTTTTTTTTTTTGTTTTTTTTTTTTAAACCCTCTCTTTTTCCCCAATGGGTTAACCCAAGAGTAAAATGAACAGAACTGTTCTAGTCATGACTGATAATTTTAAGAGCTGTGCTACTCATAAGAGAAAGGAAATCCATAAGTTTTGAATCATTTAAGCTAAAAGTAACTTGTTTTTCCTATTGCAGTATGGTAATGGTGGGGATAAAAATTGAAAGTACTTATGAGCAAAAATGATTTAAAAAAACAGTTATGAGGGCTGGCTGGTTAGCTCAGTTGTTTAGGGCACAGTGTTATAACTCCAAAGTTTGGATCCCTGTACCAGCCAGCCACCACAAAAAACAAACAACAGTTATGTGACAGTCTTGATAATTAGAATCCATGTTGGAATCAGGGTACAGGAGTATGAGGGTTCATTGTATGAGTTTCCCTACTTGAGAGTGCTCGCATTTTTTTTTTTTTTTAAAGATGATCGGTAAGGGGATCTTAACCCTTGACCTGGTGTTGTCAGTACCATGCTCACCCAGTGAGCTAACTGGCCATCCCTATGTGGGATCCAAACCTGTGGCCTTGGTGTTATCAGCACCACACTCTCAGGAGTGAGCCACGGGCCAGCCCCGTGCTCGCATTTTTTTATAATAAAAAATGTGAGAGAAAGATAAAAAATCCTGTCATCTAGAAATGGTTTTTATATATCATTTCAGACGTAAACAACATGGTTTTTATATATCATTTCAGACGTAAACAACATGGTTTTTATATAAACTTTTATAACCATTTCTGGATAATGGGTTATGTGTCTTTGTTTTACATTTTTTATTATGAAAAAGATTTTAAGTGAAATAAAGTTTGATAAACTTTCAGGAAAGTGAAATAAACTTTCATAAGTTTTGAAGTGAAATAAAAGAGCCAGTGATCTCACCCTGCAGTGATTTTTCAAACTATGCTTGAAATGGAATTAAATCTCTAAACATTGATAGGTATTTCCCAGTTTGTGGAGATTGGATTTTTTAAAAAGTTAATGGATTAAATATTCTCAAGTTTAATTTTTCTTAAAAATTAGTGAGCACTCACAGATGCCAAAGTGAATGAACAAGTAGCAAACTCAGAAGGTATTTTGTATGGCTTAATTCAAAAGCTCATGTGATCATAGGGTTTGAGAGTGTCAACTTATAAGAGTATTTCCTGCTAATAAATATGTTTCTGGGTGATTGTACAAAGAGCAGATTGTTCCACAAAGCATTTTATGACTTATAGGTACTCATTCCACCTGAACATGTTTGAGAACAAGTGTGGAGAATAACAGAAAACCCAAAGGTTGTAATAAGTATAAGAACAGATGTATGTACAGAGTTTTATGACAGCATAAGGCCTACAGTGTCAGGCAGGGCTTCTGGGAGGATGTGATACTTGAGCTGAATTTAAAGGATGTGCAATCTAGGGAATAGCATGTGACAGAAGAGAACGTGACACTCTGGAGTTGAAGAAATTTCAGAGTGGTAGAATGAAAGGATGTTTGTGGATATGTGGCTGTTAATGAATCTGGTTAACTAGACAGGAGTCATTTAAAGAAAGGCACATAATGCTATGCTAACGAGTTTGGACTTTATTTTGAAGAAAGGGGAGGGCACTGAAAAATCCAGTAGAGAAATACCATGATTTGCTTTTTTAGAAAGTCTACTACCAAAAATATAGGAAATGACTAAAAGCAGGAGAAAACTAGAGACAGGACCATTTGGAAGGCTGTAACTAAAAACCAGGAGGGAAATGATAAGGCCTAACTTAAGCAGTAAGATGCAGAGAGAAGATAGATTTAGAAAAGTATGTGAAAGATAGGCTCAACAGGACTGTAGTGTGAGGAGGGGTTGAGAGCAAAGAGTTAAAGAGAATGGAAGTTTTCTGGTGGGGGTTAACTAGGTGAATGTGGTACCATTAATGAAGTTAGGGAATTTTAGAGGCAGAGCAGGCTGAGGACATTAAGATAATGAATATCATTTTGGATATGCCTAGTCTGAGGGTCCTGAAGGATCCTTCTATAGCTATGTTTAATAAAGTCTTTACTAGAAATACACATTTAATAATTATAACACCATAAGTGTAATACATGGTTCTGTAGAAGAAAGTTCGGCAAATAACAAGACCTGTGGTTCACTTCTTAGTGGGAGACAAACAGGCTTTGGAATATGCAAAAATATCTGCCTTCTTGGAGCTGTATTCTAACAGAGGGTGGGGATAATGGGACATGGACAATACAAAATAATAAAATACGTAGTATGTTAAATGATGAAAGAAGTTCTATGGAGACAAATTAAGCAGGGAAGTGGAATAGAGCATCAGAATCAGTTTTAGAAGCCTTGTTAAAACACAGATTACTGGCCCGACACCCAGAGTTCCTGATTCAGTGAGTTGTGAGTGGTACTAGAGAATCTTCATTTTTAGCAAGTTCCTATATGATGCTGATATTGCTGGTCTGGGGCACACTTTGAGAATCACTAGGATATAGAGTTGCTGAAGGGAGGTGATGTTGCAGTTTTTAAAAAGATTGTTAAAATGGGCCTCATTGAGATGGTGACATGAGAGCAAAGATTTGAAGGAAGTGGGGGAATTGGTTGTGTGAATATCTGAAGGAAGAGCTGCCAGCGCATGTTAAGGGACAGCAGTGAGACCGGTGCAGCTGGAGCAGAGTGAGTATAAAGAAGAGTAGAAGGGTGAGGCCACAGAGGTATAGGATCTGAATTGTTTAGGGCTCTGTAGGTCATCCATAGGACCTGGAAAATGTTCAGCTTATATGGTGGTGTTTAAAGCCATAAATAGTGGATGAAATCATTAGAATAAGAGCAGAGCAATTGCATGATTCCAGGCGTAGGATGGTTATCAACTAAGAAACACTGAGGGAAGCCTGGATGACTCTAAGAGACATTTTCTTTCTTTTTTTTTTTTTTAAAGATGACCGGTAAGGGGATCTCAACCCTTGGCTTGGTGATATTAACACCACGCTCAGCCAGTGAGCAAACCGGCCATCTCTATATAGGATCCGAACCCGTGGCCTTGGTGTTATCAGCACCGCACTCTACCGAGTGAGCCACAGGCCGGCCCGTAAGAGACATTTTGAAGCAAGGAACAATAGAACTTAATGACAGCATGTGAAAGGAATGACTGACAGAAGAAAATCAAATATGAGACCAGGTTTTATAACCTAGGACGGAAGAGGAATGGTTGAAAATGGGATTTAAAAAAAAAAAAAGGGAGAAGGGAGTAATTAGGAACAGGCTTGGCATTTCTGAAAAGTAATTAAGCAACAAACTTCTTGTTTATCTTATAGTCTTATGAAAATGGTTAGTACTAAGAAAATTCAAGGATGTCTTATAATCCACTTTTTCTTAAAATGTTCCAGTGAAAAAAGTATAAATGTTTACATTAATATTTTTAGCCAATATTTTAAAACAATTTTTGAATACAAACATCCTGGCATTTTAAAAGCATTCAAAACTATTATTTTTTAAAATAGGAAAATGGACGATGTATTACTAAGCTGGAAAACATGGGGTTTCGAGTGGGACAAGGATTGATAGAAAGGTGAGCAGTATGGATTTGAAAATTTTCTTCCAGGTAGGTTACGAACAATCATGATCCATTTCAAAAAATTGCATAAAACTTGAGACATTTTAAATTTAATTCCTGAATTTTAATTCTCCTCTTTTCTTTCATTTACAGATTAAAATTTATTTTTAGATCCAGTGCTTTTTTAACTCAGTTACTCAAATTTGCTATATCATTAGACTAATTTTAGGCTCTATAGTTATATAACAGAATGTGAATCCATTGGGATAGGATCTACTTTGCTTGGTGCTTGTCACTTTATGACTGTCAATAAATGTTCAGTGCTGTTCTGGCTTTTAGAAATGAGTTAATAATTTGCCCCTCTTGCTTTCTTTGGAGGAAAAATACTGTATTACTTTTAATTGATCTTTTTAGGTTTACAAAAGATACGGCAAGGTTCAAGGATGAATTAGATATCATGAAGTTCATTTGTAAAGATTTTTGGACTACAGTATTCAAGAAACAAATAGACAATCTAAGGACAAATCATCAGGTATTTAGATAAATTAAGGCCTATATTTTTAAGTTCTTTAACTAGTGATTTACTAATTATTTAAAACTTAAAATGATTTCTGGTCAACATTGGAATGTTTCCCTTATGTTATTAGTAAGTCATTAGTTTTTTCTCTGGGTAAAGTGAATAAAAGGGGACAGTTAGCAGTAATGATAGCTATTCCTTTCCCCCAATTATATAAGGTATGTTAAATTTTAATAATTTGCAAATGTCAGAATGATAAAGGTTTTAGTAGTATTACTTAGTGGTGATAATATGCAGAAACACAAATATATCACATTTATGTCTTTAGAGTAATTTCTAAGGTCTAATTTATAGAGCATATTTAACTCTTAAAAAACTCTTGCATTGTTTATTATTGCTATCATATTTTCTATTCTTAAAATATGTTATTACTACAAAATTAGTAGGTTGCATAGAAAGCTATGCATTAAAATAGATTGACTGTAAACCTCAAGGACATACTTAAAGTGGATTTGGCATTTTGATTCAGTAAAAAATTAATGTTCTCTAGTACTACCAGTAGATTTCAGTTGTTAATGTAGCGGTACTTGAGATGCTAATAGAAAGAAGTGACTTTGATTATTGACTTTCTAAACATAATTTAATGATATATAACAGCTAATTTCACATGGACATGTATTAATGATTTCTTTGCACTAGACTATGAGTTCTTTAAGTATAGGGACTATGTCTTGCGCACCTTTGTACCTTCAGTTTATAAAACATTAAGTTAATATGAGTATTAGGAAGTGCTGAACTCACAAGTCTTCAGCTTGAAAATTGCAACACTTTAATTTAAAGAAAATTTGACCAATGGAAAAGAGAATTTTAATAACTTTTAAAAACTCTTAAATTGTTTTGTAGGGATGAAATAATTTTTAAGGACTGTGGAATACATTAACTTGGGATATTTTTCTGTTTTTGGAACACAGGGCATCTACGTACTTCAGGACAACAAATTTCGTTTGCTTACTCAGATGTCTGCGGGAAAACAGTATTTAGAACATGCATCTAAGGTATTTAATGGAATAGAAGATTGGGGTTTTCTACTCAGAGTGGAACTATAGGGAAAAGTCCAATGCCAATCATAACAGACTCTTGAACTAAAAATAGATTTTAAAGTTCTTTTTTGTTTAAACAGTTTTCTGTGAGATAGGAGACATATGTTCATCATGTTACAATAACCTATACTGAACTATAGCTAAATAGGCTTACGGTGACCAGTTAAAGAAACATTACAACTAAATGCCAATGAAATGTAGATTTATGGTAGATTCTTGAATATTGCAGATACGTTAGTAAAGTTATTCAGACTTATAAAACTGACATTAACTATGCAAAGTTATTCACCTCAGAGTTTCTATTTATGATCTCCCTTAGTAGGTTAAAAATATTTTTAAAAATATAATTAACATTTGTTCCTAAGACTACATGTTTTGTGTTAAGTTTATCTGTGTTTTTGGGTTTTGCATAGTTTTTGTTTTTTAATTTCACACAGGAATAAATGAATAAATAGATGTATTAAAGAAAGCTTGACAAGTGTTAATGTAAGAGTTTCTTTGAATTGATTAAAATATCTGGGCAAATATAAGCTTCTATTTATCTGTAAAAGTTTGTCCATACCTAAATTATCTAGCCAAAAAGGAGCACAGGTATAATGGAAAGATCATGGACTTGGGACCAAATAAATTTACGTTTTAAGCTAAGCTCTACAACTTATAGATTTGTGACTTTAAGTAAGTTACATAACCCCTTTGGACCTTGGTTTCTTCATTAATAAAATGAGTATAATCAAACCTATATTATAAGATTGTCTTGAGATTTAAATGTAAATAAAGTATTTAACGTGGTGCTTTGCACATGGGAAATACTAATGATTACTATTACAGCTGTGATATGTCAATAAAATGAGCCTAGAAATGGACATGATACTTTCTTCTCATAACTTAATTTCACTGATCCAAGATTGCTTATTTTCTGTATTTTGGGGGATGTCCAGGCTCTAATTACATTTTTATGGTTAATATGTATATATATTTTTCTACTAACATGTCATTTTAACATTTCTGGTTCTCATTTAACTCTTTGGGATCTTAATTTATTCAGCTGTGAAAAGAGTAATTTATTCTAGTACAGTGATTTTTAACTATTTTGATGTCTTTGAGAATCAGAGCACCCTTTTTCATAAATATGAGTATGCACATACTTGTATACATCATTTTTATTTTCATAGGGTTCACAGATTCCCAGGTTAAGCCCTCTTAGGATAAACAGCCTGTAAGTTCTCTTCTAGCTCAAAATTTCATGACTCAGATCTTATTACTTATCAGCAGCCATTTATGTGTATTAATTATAAAATATTCTATTATTCATATATAGTGTTAATAAACATCATGCAATACAAAAATGTAGACAATAATAAGTTCCTTGGATTATTAGTTTTTGAATCCCCATTCTTGTCATGACTTTCCCTGCTGTAGCTCAGTCCCATTCCCTTTCTTTGTTTCTATAGGAGAGGGTTTCTCAACATCCACAGTAATATTTTGAAATGGATAATTCTTTTTTGTGTAATTTAAACCAGTAAGTCTTGAAAAAGTCAAGATTCTTGGTTGTAGATAGTAGAAACCAAATCTGTCTGAATAGAATATTGTTAGGCAGCTTACAAAAATGACAGGAAGGCTCAGAAAACAGGCAAGAACCACAGGAGTTTAAAGCAGACACAAAGAACCAAAATCATTCCACAGAAAGTGTGTAGTTAGAAACCTGCAGGCAGCACAGACAGTAGACACAAGCCACCTTTGCTGCCTCTAGAACTAATTCTAACCTATTTCTGACTTATTTTTGTCACTCATTCTAGATTCAGAGTCCTGGACTGAAGCACCTGATTGGCTGACCTTAAGTCATGTGTCCATAGAGCTTTAGTTGCCAAGGAGCTGGGAAATCTTCTAACAATCATATTTTTCAGTAATTTGAACAGTTCTTCCACAACACTTTTTTAAACATCAATGACTTATTGATAGCATGGCTTAACTAAATGTCATATTTATTAATAGCTTTACTATTTTAGTAAATCTGTACTATTTTTTATAATTTTTTTCCTTTTAGTATTTAGCATTTACATGTGGCTTAATCAGAGGTGGCTTATCAAATTTGGGGATAAAAAGTATTGTAACAGCTGAAGTGTCTTCAATGCCTGCATGTAAGTTGCATTCACTTTTTTTTTTTACAATTGTTAGTGGTTTTTTTTTAATTTAGAGGAAATTAAAAATGCTGAAACTACTTCATTTTAGTTTTATCAATTTAACATTTGGTGTAGTAATATGTAGCCTACTATATTCATATTCAATGATTTTGAATTCATAATGGATAGTGATTTAGAAAAATTTGGTAAAGAAATCTAAATTTATTATAGGACAATTTAAGGGATGATTCTTAACTTTGAAAGGGAAATTTTCTGCAGCCTTCTTTTAAGATAACAAATTTCCCTATAGCATTGAAAATACTTTTATTTTTTAACATAAACATTTTAAAAACATTTTAGAATATTATATAAACCTAAATAAAACCAACCAATCTTTTATAACTAAACTCCTTCCTAAAAAATCTTTTCACCAGAGCTACCAACCAAAAATAAAATTGACTTGAGCTTCACTGTTATTTCCTTTCTATTCACAGTTATAACTAGCAATGAAATACTTGAAAGGTAGGAATCACAAAGAAAAACAGAGGCATCTGCTCAACAAATCATATAATCATCCCATAAAAATGGAATTTATTGAATATTGTGAAGCGTATGAAAAGCTGACATAGCAAATTTCTTGATTAAAACAACTTCCTAAGTAGAACAGAAAATTGATGTTTAGGCTTGTTTTCCTTGTACCTAAAATCAAAGAATGATTTTTATGTTTTCTTTTTTAGGCAAATTTCAGGTGATGATACAGAAGCTGTAGAACGTACTGAAATGCAAGGCTTCAACAGTTTAAAGAGATAAATTATTCATGTATAAAGTATTTCAAGTGGCAGTGATTTAATTACATTGTACAGGAGTAAGGGTATATTTCATCAGTTTAACACAGACCAACTTAAAGCAGATAAAGGGACATTCTACCATGACATACACTTTACTGAAACTATTCAAAATGTGAACCTGATTTCAAATAACTAGACACCAAGATGTATGACCCTTATTTTAAACATTTTTATTTGCCTAGAGTGATTTAACCATAAATGGAGAAGCAAAACTCAGGGTTTGTTGAATTAGCATAAAGAAAAGCTTGCATCAATCAGAATCATTTGTGTAAGAATGAACAAATTTTGATAAAGTACGAATTTGTTTTATTTATAAAAGCAAACTACATTAAATTAAATTAAGCTTAATGTTTATTTTATTTCTTATAATTTATTTTAGAGAATTTTTATGCCTATATCAGGATTTCATATATACATTGTATATGTGTGTGTGTGTATATACAAATACATATATGACTGCCTAAATTGCTTAAAAACTTAATTTCACTTTAGTAGATTTCATTCTTTGAGAACTCTATTAATATAATCAAAGTGAAATACAGATTTGTTTAAATGTGGATTCAGTGACTCCAGGGCCAAAGAATATTAGGTATATTAGGAAGGAATTTTTTATGCATTTTCCTGTTACAGTCTTGACTTTCAACTTCTGTCCCCATGCATGAAGTCCTGGTAAATGTTTTAACATCTTTGTCTTTATTCCTTTATTTACTCTTTCATAAAGGGCAGAGATGTGGTTGATTAGATCAGTCACATTGACATTCATTGGACTATATCTTCTCAGTGGGTTGGAGTCTGTGCTTATCTAGTATATTTCTTACCACTTCTACTTACTTTATCTTAAATTTATCTGGCATAAGCAGATATCTTCAGTCCAGCTTTTGTTAGAACTCTGCATATTAAGGTGTCTGCACTTTATTACAACTGTACTTTTTTCCCCAGTTACCCTTGTGCATATATTTGTTTGACAGGGAACTGTGCAGAAAAGGTTGATAACTCTGTAGAAGGAGTTGATTGACATGCCAAACAAGATGTTTCACTGGGTTCTCTGCCTTAAAAATGGCTGATTAAGGGCCGGCCCGTGGCTCACTCGGCAGAGTATGGTGCTGATAACACCAAGGCCATGGGTTCAGATCCCATATAGGGATGGCCGGTTAGCTCACTGGGTGAGCGTGGTGCTGACAACACCAAGTTAAGGGTTAAGATCCCCTTACCGTTCATCTTTAAAAAAAAAAAAAAAAAAAACTATGAAGTAAATTTAATAGCTTACAATAAGTATTTTGAAGAAACAGACTAGAAACTACCAGAGAATCATCACAAGCACTAACAGTGTCATTACATGAGATGCCTTCTAAGGTGATACATATAAATCTACACACATAACCAAAATATTATATTAAAAACATGAAATAAAAAGTGTAAAAATTTACTTTAGGACATAAGGGAAAACTCAAGTTGTACCATTTTCCTTTCATAGAAAGGTGCAGTATCAAAGATGTCAGTTTAACTCATGTTGATTTATTAAATTGGAACAATCCTAATTCTCTAATGATTTGGGGGAAAAAATTTTTTTTTCAGATTTTGAAAAAATAAATTTGGGAAAGATCCTACCAAATATAAAAATATAATGTAAAGCTTAGTGATTAAAAGGGTCATAATGATCCAGGAATAGCTAATAACACAGAAATGGACCAGAATGGAACAAAATAGAGAGCTTTAAAACAGGTGTAGCATATAGGAATTGTATGTATGAGAAAGGTGTTATCTTACATCAACGGGTTTGTTAGAGACTCTTGTTTTCCTACCCATCAGCCATTTCCTCCTTCCTCTCTTGCTGACAATGCCCCATTTTTATTTTGGTTGTTAACTCTGACTGTCTTGTACTGTAGAATAGTGTGCTTTCCTAGTCCCAGAGAGGGTGAGTTTTGATTAGATGCTAAACCAATCATTTTAATTGACTTTTTTTTTTTTTTTTTTTTTTTTTTTTTTTTTTTTTTTTGTGGCTGGCTGGTGCGGGTATCTGAACCCCATTACCTTGGGATTATAAGGCTGCACTCTAGCCATCTGAGCTAACTGGCCAGCCTCAATTGACTTATCTTGATCATTTGATGAAATCCTGGCTGAGACAAAATGGGGTAAGTCCGAAGGATTTTTAGGACATTTTCCTTGCTCTTAAAAATGGATACAAGATAAGGATTTGCCCCCTTCCCTTATTTGCTTCTCAGTGAAGATATGTGATAATGGATGTTTGGAACTAATCTCCAACAGCCTTTGAATGACCATGAAAGGGCAAACATGAAGATGAAAGCCATCACACTGAGGGTAGCAGGATGCAGATAGAAAGCACCTGAATTATGCTTCTGTAACCAATCCTGGAACTGCTTTACCTTTGAGCTTTTTGTTATGTGAAATATTAAATTACTTATATTATTCAATCTCCTTTTGGTTGTGTATTTTGTTACTTGTAGCCAAAAAGAAACCTCTCAGTAGAAACAAAGGGAGAGTTTGGTTATTCAAGAAAAAGTATCAGATAATTGAATATTCTTTTTTATGGGGGGTTTGGGGGGATGCAGACTTAAAAGTTTACATGTAAAACAATAAAACCATAAAGTACTAAAGAAAACATGGACTACTTTTATAATCTTGTGGAGAAGACCTTCCCAAAACACAACATAGAGAATCATAAAGGAAAACAGTAAAAAAAAAAAACTAACAACATCTCTTCAACTAATGGTGTGGGGAAAACTGGATATCCACATGCAAAATAATGAAATTGGATCACTATATATATAGAAAACAACATTATATATAAACAGTCAATTTAAAATGGGCTGAAGATTTAAATGTGAAATTTGCAACTGTGAAAGTCCTAAAAATGGGGAAAGCTTCATAACATTGGTCTTGGCAATGATATCTTGGATACCATACCTAAAGCACAGGCAGCAAAAACAGAAATAGACAAAGTGGGACTACAAACAAAAGCTGTGCAGCAAAGGAGACAGCAGAGTGAAAAGGCAACTTATGGGAAAGAAAGGCCATAATAAAATGAACTTTGAGCAGGAGAGGACAGATGGTGGAGTTTGGATGTGTTGTCCCCTCCAAAACTGGTGGAAATTTGGTCCCCAATGTGGCAGTGTTGGAGAGTCATGGGGGTGGATCCCCCATAAATGGATTAATGCTCTCCCTGGGGGAGGAGGGGTAGTGAGAATTCTCGCCCACTTAGTTCCCGTGGAGAGCTGATTGTTTAAAGGATCCTGGCACCTCTTCTCTCTTGCTTCCTGTCGCCATGTGATCTACTTGTACCCGCCAGCTGCCTGCTACTTTCCACCATGAGTAGAAGCAGCCTGAGGCCCGTGCCAGATGCAGCTGTCCCAGAATCGTAAGCCAAATAAACGTCTGTTCTTTATTACCCAGTCTCAGGTATTTCTGTTATAGCAATACAAAACGGACTAATACAACAGACCTATAGTTTATCAGAGGTGGGAAAGGGGGAGTGGGAGGGAGATTGAGAGTAATTGGGTAAGTGATACAAAAAGTAGTTATGACTTGTAATGATAAACATGCTAATAACATTCAGTCATCACATACTGTATACAGTCAACTCTGTACCCCATAAATATGTATAAATAAAAAGGCAACTTATGGAACAAAATATTTGCAAGCCATATATTCAGTAAGGGTTGGTTAATATCCAAAATACACAAGGAACTCCTACAACTCGGTAGCAAAAAGCAATCTGATTAAAAAATAGGCAAAGGAGTTGAGTAGATGTTTCTCCAGAGAAGATACACAAATGTCCAGTAGGTATGTGAAAGGATGCTCAACTTCACTAATCACCAGAAAAATGCAAATCAAAACCATAATAACAACACCTGTTTTTAGAATGGCCATTACCAAAAAAAAAAAAGTTGGTGAGGATGTGGAGGAATTGGATTACCTTGCACACTGTTAGTGGAAATGTAAAATGCTACAGCTGCTATGGAAAACAGTATGGAGGTTATTAAAGAAAAAAAAAACTACCATATGATCCAGCAGTCCCACTTGTGGGTGTGTAGGATCCTCCAGTTTCCCCCTTTTTTCTGTCCTGACCAAGAAACACAAGGTGCCTTGACCGCTTTGTGATCTGGCCAGCTGTATGTTTTTCCCTTGCAGGCTTGAACCCAAGCCAGGGTCTTGAACATTCTCAGGTAATGATAAAGGTGTTTAGTTGTCCAAAAAACTGAAAGAAACTAGCCTAGGCCCTGAGCCAAAGTCCTTAAACTCATATAATCTCCATACCCTGACCTCATTGGAGACATAGCTAGACAGAACATCCCTTGTCTCCCCACCATGTGGATACGCTGTGGTCTCCTCTGTATTTAAGTTCCCCTAATAAAATGCTTTAGACCGATCACCCTCCTGTTTAGTGTTTTTCTTTTGAATCCCAACCAGCCCCATCTCCAGATGATAAGGGGTAATCCTGTGTGGTAACTCTCCTGCCATCTCTTCTGCGGCCACCACAGCCAGGATGAAACAGTATGTATCCCAAAGAATTGAAATCAGGATCTTCAAGAAAATCTCTTCACTCCCATGTTCATAACAACATTATTCACAATAGCACAGAGGAGGAAACAACCTAAATATCTACAGACAAATGGATTAAAATTATTTGGCCTTAGAAAAGAATAACTTCATTTCCCCACCTTTGTGGGAGTTAGGTGTGATCACGAGTTACACACTGTGGCCAACAAATAACACAAGCTGGATGTGGATTTCTAGGGAAGGTTTTGCTTTTATGAGAAAAGAATCAGATGTGGAAGGCTCTGCCTCCTTCCTTTTTCCTGTCTTTAAAACAGATAACATTGCGCCTTGAACTGCAGTGGCCTATTGTCACCATGAGGGAAGAGCTAAAGGAGTATCACTGACATTGATACTGAGTCACTGAACCAATGCCAGTGGCCAGCTCTAGACTTCTTGTTATATGAGAAAAATAAACCCCTATTTA